CTAGTTTTTTCAACTATCTGTAAAATTACTAGACATATCAAATGCCAAAAGTGTCTTATCTATATTTTTGATAAGTAAAAAAGAATAGTTATAGCACATGCAATGAAATAATACATAACTTAAAAATTTATCTTTTATAGATTCTAACTCTTCAGGTAATTTTTGTGTAATAGTAGTATAACACCTATTACTGAATTTATTGTGATGTATAAACCTTCAAGCTATTTGTTACTCTATTTGTATTCATTGATTGTCAGGTAAAATAAAATAAAACTGATTTTTTTGTGAGTTGTTTGGCTTTAGTTCTAATTATATACATAGACACAACCTTTTACTTTAAATATAACAGATAAGAACTTAATCCAAGACCTAAAATCTGCTTCTAAAAGTGAATATCTTGGATGTGTGCCAATATTTAAATGTCTTATATAAGATAAGCATGTTTTTTGTCTGGTTTATTTATACAATTGTTTTGTACTTAGGGAAGTGCTATTTATTAAGTAATTTTAATAGGATGAGAGGGAGATTAGCAGTTCTACTATGTCTATAATTATATATAAAAATTATAATTGGTTGCTAATTTAATCACAATGAAGGGAGGGGTATGATCTTATAATAAAAAGAAATTGCATAATAAATAGTACTTCCTTTATATTAAACTATTCTGCAGTGTTTTGTTTACTAGCTATGAAGTTCTTTTCTAGATATATAACAATTGCCAACTTCTTATGAATGTTCTAGCTTTTTTTTCTTAGTTATTTTTGTATCCTTTAAAATTGTTCTGTTATGTTTCATTTTGTACTTGATTCTATTTATGTATTAATATATATATAACAATAATATCTTTATTTAAAACTAAACCAAAATAAATTTTTAATTATTATCTTTTGGCTTAAAACTTGTTTTTAACATAATAGAGACGTGAATTGTATATGATTCTTTAATATATAATAACTGATTTGCACATGTTAGTTGTATTAATTAGACAATTTTACTAATGTTTGTAGTATCTATTATCAATAAGTAAATACTGCTTGCTCAATATAAAATTGAAATTTCTAAAAAAATTATTCTAAAGTTTTTAATTGTTCAACTGTTAATTTACTGTTTCTTTACTTATATTAAGTATCTTTTCAAAACTTTTAATGCCAATTACAATAAGATATAAATTTATTATAATTGATATAATTAATATACTCTTTGGAAATAGCTTTTTCAACTATTCTTCTAGTATGTTTGTTATGACTTTTTGTATGCATTGTACTATATACTTGCAAGAAAGATTCGTTTTTATTAAGTTGTTAATACTAATTACAGTAAAAGTTTTTTTTTAGTTTGATTACTTTTCCATATCGAACTTTTGGTCTCTTTTATATTCTTCTTTGTTGTCATCATGAATTATTGAAAATTTTCAAGCAAAATGAGTTTATTTCAAGTAATTTATAAGTGCCATATTGACTATAATTTTGGTAATGTTAAATTAACATCTAAATTATGTATAACAATAACAATAATATATACATACAGACAAATTAATATTTGTAACTCTTTCTGACAATCACTTGTACCAAAATTTCAACTAACAAAAAACAAAATTTTTGTTAGAAAGACATGGCTCTATGGTGCGGTTTGCCTAAAAATCAACTGCTTTTCTAAGGGACTCCTCTAAAAGGACGTTTGGTATACAAGCCAGGAGTATTATTATACAAGATAACTGGCAGGAGCTTGCCACCCTGGTGCTTTTGTATGAAAAATTTTGGTGAAGAGAGTAAGTTATATAGTAGGCTGCTACTTTGTCAACGAAGCTCTAGGCCATTACTTCGAAGAAGAATACAGAGAAAACAACAAAAGTTTTGGATTTTAATACACTCTTTAGAAGTTTTGAAAGTATTTGCAACTGAAGATCTTCTACTATATTTTTGCTATTTTGAATTTTTTTTTGAAATTTTGGCCAAAAAGTGAAAAAACTAGCATACCTCTTCTAAAAGATCAGCAGTGTTTACTCCTTCCAAATTAGGACGTGTCTACTGAAATGGAACCTCTTACGAGCTTATTTGGATTATACTTTGCCAAATAAACAATGATAGCAGTACTGTTTACAGTATAGAAGATCAGAGAGATCACATGTAAAAATTTCTTAATATTAAACGTTTTCTTTTATTTTCTTTTTCACTTCTATTATTATATATAGTGTTAGGTTAAATTTTATTTTATACAACATTATATAATTTATATAGTCTTGCACAGGCAAAAATAGTGCTGTCATAGCTGTTTTTTTTTCGGCCTTTTTCTTTTTTTTTTCTTTTTTTTCTTTTGTTTGTTTTTTGTTTTTGTTTAGTTTAGATTTTCTTCCTTTTTTTAGTATTTCTTTTATTTTGTAAATTTCCTGTTGTTTTTTGGTAAAATTCTTCTATCTAGGAGGCTAGGAGAAGAAAGTTGAAAAAGAAGATGGTTGTGGTTGGCTGATGAACCGAATCGATGAACCAGAGTGGGTCAGCTTGATGTAGATTGAACCAAACTGGGAAGATTAAAATTATTTTTGGCAGGTCACACACAGGTGCATAAATATTTAAATAATCTATATAAATAATCAGGTAAGTTACATACCTGTATCTTTGGATATATTCTTTTTTCTTCAGATTAAATCAATAATCAATAAAACATGGACATGTAGCATAATTGCTAAAAAAAAAAAAAATACATATATACAGATGTTAAAATATTTATATATGTACTACATAGATTTCTATGTAAAAGTCCCTAGTTATCAGACCTATATCTATACAACAGACCCACAGGTTTATAGAAAGGTTTTAAATTAGTGAAATATAACAAACCCAGATCTTGTATCTGGTGATTTACGGTAGTCATATAGTTATACTAAATAAGAACTTAATCTATATACAAATAAATAAATATAAACTACATGCAAGAATAAAAGCTCAGACTAATTATTTATCTGTGACCTAAATCTACTAAAGTAGTCAAAGCTCACCTAAATTTGAATAGTTAAAATATAATTAGTAAGAATACTGTATTGAATTTACATAGTAGACCAAGTATCAAATTTATGGTTTGCAAAATAAACAAGTATTTGAATTAGAATATAGTTGATCTTTCTGTTTTATCTATAAAGCAGTATGGCAGATTATATTTAGATACTTGTGAAACAACTAGATATCTTATAATTTTAAATAGGCTAAATATCTAGCTTATAGTATAATATATTTCATCTGTTAATAAAAATACCAACAAGACTGTCAAAGTAATATATATATATATATATACTGTATATATTTTACTTATTAACTAATTTTTTAAAAAAATAACTATAAAATTTAACAGCCTAAACTTGACTCAAAAATACAACCAAAAATTTATTTCTTATATTATATAAGAGTATTGCCCCCTTCTCCCCAAAAACATACTAAGTAAATGGGATCGGGTACTCTAAGTAAAAATGTTCAGACCCAAAAAACCTCACGAAAACTAAAATTGGGACCTTATATTAGCTCTATATTATATTATATAAATAAAAACAATTCTCTAATTTCTAAATTTCTAACCCTAACCCTAAAAATAATTAGGAAGAGGAATTTTCCCGGGTTAAGATTAGTTATTTTTATTATATAATATTAACAATCTCCAATACCCAAAAAACAAAATATATTTACAACTTTCTATTTTTTAACTTGAAACTCTCCAACAACTCTTTTTTTAAAACCAAATTTTAACTACTAATAATAAATACTTATTTTATAAAATAATATCTATTTTACAAACTCAAAAATTCTCAAGAGGTCCAATTTACAAACAAATCAAAAATCTTGTTTTTACCAACTCTATAGTAACATTATGGCCATATTTACAACTTGATCAAATAAACCCTTTTATTAACACACTTGATTTAATTACTAACTCTTATCAATCTCTAAAAAAAAAAACAACTGGACCATCTTTATTATATCCAAATTTTAAAATTGGAAAAATAATAAAATTATCATAACTTAATTCAAAAAAAAAGTATTCTCTAACTTTCATAATTTGACCTTAATCCCATAAAATATTTTACAACGAATTAAATCATACCTATCAACACACTTCTCTGCTAACTAATTTAATTTATATGATTTGGTTTAAAGAATTTTGTTAGGAGTATACCTTAACATGTTTTGCTGTAATTAAATAAAAAAAAAAAGCTTGATTCAAATTAATTTTTGCGTAATAAGCCTATCAGCTTATTTCAAAAATCGTATCACCAAATAATAAACATCGAAATGACGCCCACGCGCGTTTTGAATAATGCAAATTAGCAATTGCGTAAATAACTTCCTGTGTCGTGTCGGATGATTAGTCTTTAACTCGGAATAACATACAGGTAGGCGTTATCTGTTATTACGCGAAAATACGGCATCAAAATGTAATTAAAAAAGTCAGACGACCACTGTCAGGAGAGCGCACAAATAGATTTCATTATACAATTTTATAACGAATGAGCAAAATAATCATAACGAGAGGCGACTGTGTATCAAAGGATTTTGTTATTAAAAACTTGATTTGATAAATATTCGCGAATTTTAGAACAAGATCATTGATCACTTTACGTCTCCACATATTATCAGACAAATAATATCTTATTAAAATTATCTGCAAACTTTTTAGATTGAATTGTTTTTATTTACCTCTCTGAATTTCAAACTCGATTTCTGAATATAAATATTACAAATGAAAATTTATACAATATATATATATATAATAAATAAATTTAGGACGTTAATAAATAAATTTAGGATGTTGATAAATCACTAAATCATAATAATAATAATAATCCCAAATTGCTGTTTCTTGAATTTGTCTATAAAATTATTCTGTTTTCAGACAAAGAAATTCCATACAAAATTTTGATGTAAACTAAATACCTTGCACTAACTTTAGACTCAACATTAATACCGTGTATTGAACATCATGATATATTTATTGTTAAAGGGTTATAATATATCTTAAAAGTTTGAATTCCAACGTTGTGCCAACAATTTAACAATATTTCTACTGGAAACACATTCAGTTTCCATAGTCTAAATTAAAATGATAAATAAATATGAGTAAAAATTCAACAATATTCATCTTGTTAATATATACTGACCGAAATTAATGGTTCATAACTGTTAACATAAAAGAAATTTGTATCTGGTTCTATTGGTGGAAATGTCTGATTCGGTAATAATCTTGGGTAAGCTTTAAAAACTTTTCGAAAAGTCCAAGATCGTTCAGAAAAAATTCTATCAAGTACTTCATCAGACATCTTTTCATGTGAAAATATCTTATTCAATGTTTCTCCATTTTCTAGAACAATTTTTGCCGCCAAACTAAGAAATTCTGCTTTACCACTATTTGTTGTTAATATTTGGTTTGGAAAATCTTCAACTTTTGTACGATTAAAGTAAGATGGATTTAAGCGTCCCGTTACAAATGTAACATGAAGCGTCACATAAGGAATTTTCTTCATTTCCAAATAAATATTTTCAAATTCTACCCCAGAGAATTGCTAGATTATTATGTAAAGTAAATGTTAGATATCGCTAGTAATGTATCATTATAAAAATCACATGAATTAAAAATGATGAAAAAAAAAAGTACAATAGGCGCAGCCATGATAATCGCGTCAAACATTTCTGTGGAGCCATTTTTTGTTTGAACCACATATTTTACTGATTCCTCTACACCATTTATTGTCCGCAATTTAGTTACTTTTACTACTTTAGTATTCAGGTTCAATGTTGCACCTGAGTGCTCGATAAACTTTTCGAAAAGTTGATAATTTCCACCTTTAATGCTCTTCGCACCCGTTGGTGCAAGACTAATAAATGCACCCAGAGCATGAATTTCACCTAAATTCTGACCATAATTAACACGAGTCATAGGTTCAACCAAGTGTTGAAGGTAAAGTTGATTAATATGCTTTAATTCAGAAAAATAATATTGAGCAGTAAATTTTTGTTCTAAATCAAGTTGAAGTCTTTCAGCCTCTAAATTAACACTTGTAAATGGTTCTTTAAACTCATAAGTTTTCAGAAATTTTGAAATAATTAAATTGACTAATCGTTGGACCTTGAAATAAAATTAGTAACATAATAATTAATTTATATTACTTAATATGAAATAAAGAAATTGATTATACCTTAATAGGTGCCCACCCATATTTCCAAATGAGTTTAGAAATATCCCAATATGAACTTGAAGATTGTTCGAAAACAAATTGACTTCCATCCCATCTATGAAAAAGATAGGTATATTGGAGCTTTTTTTAAATGAATAATCGAACATTAAGTTTATGATTATTATACAAACATTCCAACTTTTGAATTTTGGAGTTCTTCACCATAACTAATAAATTCTAAACCGAATTTTTTAGCAGAATTCGTCATATGATAATTATCATCAATAAATATAGATGCTCCTAATTCAAGAATAATCTGGGTATTGTCACGTGTATAGTTAAAAACTAGTGCACGCCCTCCAACTTGTGATGATTGCTCATAGACAGTCGTTTTAACTGGTGTCGATAAATTGGCAAAAGCTTCAGAAATCCAATAAGCAGCCGAAGAACCACCAGCGCCAGCACCTGACCAACGAAAAAAAAAGTTAGATGGATTACATCATATCAAATGAAAGATATAAATAACGTACCAATTATTGCTACGGTTTTTGGATCCTTTTGGTGTGGTATTTCAAAGTGAGCAACATATTGCGTGGATGAAAGATTGACGCAAAATAATAAAAGTATTAAGTGGAAAAACATTACTGATCGTAATACTCGTATTAATAAAGAATATTTAGAATATTTAAAAAAATCCATGAATAAGTCGTAAAAGTTAAAAATTAACGATGAAACAATGTTTATATTGTACAATTTGCATATATAAAATAATTACGCTGATCATGCCAATAAAGGCATTTTTATGTCCTTGAGAACCAGTAATGGTAATTTGATAAATTAAATAGCTTACCTGTTATCGGATAAATGTACTTTTATACGTAAAATGCTTTCTATAGATGCATTCCTTTAAATAATCATGAAGGGTGAGTTTAAAGAAATCTGTTTTTTTTTTTTTTTTTAATATAAGAGTTTATTGTATTGCAGTAAAAAAAAATTATTAATTTGACCGTCATTATAATCTTTACTCATGAAAACATTTCGGTGTGTGATTCCTTTAACGCACGATAATGTTTATTTTATTATAATAAATAAAAAATAATGATAATAAAATATACATTTTATTTAATCGTATATATCTTAGTCTCATTACTATAAACAATTTTTCATATGTAACAGAATAAAATATTTTTACCGATAACAATGATATTTAAATGCTTTTTTTTTTTAATTGAGTAAACCGTACTATTAAATCCTCCTCTTCCGGAAGGTGCTGAATAGTATTGATAGATGTATTTTCTTGAGTTTTATTTTTCTTGAGTTTTATTTTTCTTTAGTTCTTGTTCTTTTTGAGCTTTTTTAACAAGTTTCATATAATTTTGATAAAGGTTCCGCTTAGCTCTTACACCTTCGACTCCCACAAGATTGACTTATTATATGAATTTATTAATATAATATGAGTATTATTATATTATTATGATTTACTATAATATTATTATACTATTATAATATTATTATAATATTCAGAATAAACCATATTTCAATTAATACGTACCTCGTTCTAAAGATTCATGAAAGACTCTAACTCGACTATCTTCAAAATTTTCACTAACCACTAAGGCATGTTGTGATACTCCCCATTGTAATAATAATTGTTTACTTTCATCTTCAATGGTCATTCCATTATCATTTTCATTTGCACAAACAAATAATTTTAATTTCTTAAATCTAATATTTGTAACTTTAAAAATCATATCTTGTCTAGCATCAGAATCTACATCTGGGTGAATCCAACAGACAATTAACTTTAGCTTTTCAAGATTGTGTAAAGATGACAAAAGTTCCCATTGATCTGATTTATCAAACTTAACATTATGTAATGTTATGGATGTTAACGTTCTTGAGGGAATTGGTGAGGCTAGAAGAGGTAAAAGGAAATGAATATCTCCTTTATTAATGTAAATTTTTCTAAGAAATGGTGTATTTGAAACGATAGTTGAAAGATGTTTGTTTATCTGAACTTTTAAGGTTTTTAATGTTGACTAAATTAATATACAATGTTAGGTAATTAATAACTGATTTAAAAAATATATCACAAGATTAAAATTAACTCACAAAATCTTTCCATCCATTGACCATATCTTCAACTTGTTCTTCATCAACTCCTTCAATATCCAATTTCCGTATACATTCAAATAATGATTTAAATTCTTGTTCATATAACATTTTCGAACAAATATAATACTCCCATAAATATGTTTCATCATTCATTCCATCAATTATTCCTTTTTTAATTTTCATTTGATTATCATTCATCCCTTCAATTATAACTCTTCTAAATTTCATTTGATTCGATGTAAATAATTTTAATAATGATCGTATTATTAATTTTAAAAAAAATTGTGTTGAACGTTGGTCTCCAAAATGGTTGTTATAAGGTGATGATTTAAACCACAGTATAGCGGACATGAATAATCCTCTATATGATAATGATTTTATATATGAAGGGTAATTAAAAGTTGGCTTTTTAGAAATTTGTAAACTTCTGAATAAATGTTCTGTTTCAAAATCTTTTGGAAATTCTATTTGCATCTTTTCATATATTTCTTTAATTTGTTCTTTATTAAAGCATGATAATAAAACTTCAATAATTTTCCCCGAACTTGATGGATATTTCGAGCATACTTCATTAAATGCAAATGGGTTTTGCCAAAGAATTGGTATTCCGGCTTCACACCATTTTTTATCCACTAACATACAATGATATAATGATTTATAATCATAAGGATTTTCTAAATGAATTTGCGAGATTATGATAGTTAAGACATCAAAATCTAATGAAGGTGTCATTTTTAATGTTAAAATTCAATCGTTATAATGAACGTCTTGCTAACATTAAAAAGTCAAAGGTACAAAAATCCAACTGATCATCTTTGTTTGTACACTCCCCTGACATAAGTCACCGGATTTTTTTGGTAACGTATGACGATCTTTTTTTTTTGCAGGTTTTTGATTTGCAAATTCTCAACAAACTACATATTAATTCGGGTCAAAATTTTTTTATTTAA